AGTAATTAAATGTAACTTGACAATTGGCTCTCTGAGGTACGACTTTTGCAGAGACCAGAAAAGATATTGGCGACATTCATTCAATAATAGCATTTGGAATGATCTACAACATATACATGTATCATGAGACTGAGTATGCATTTATTCATTAACCATTCTCACAGGTTCACAAATATGTTGGGCCAAAATTAATGTTCAGCAACCCATGTTGTAAGAGCGAACTAATATGATCGGGTGGTCGTTCTAACTTACTTGTTTGATGCACGCCATCGTATCCCACTTATGAAGATCGATGCTCACAGTGTCATGACCATGCTATGTGTAACTCCTTTGTGTATATCATTATATATTACTAACACCGAGGTATGCATATTTTTATGAAAGTTAGAGTAGAAACAATATGTTTAAATGAATATTGTCTAGGAATTCCTTTGGGTTGTCCATAAAAGCAGGCACTTAATGTTTTGTATTTAAAACAGTACGTTTCTGTCGTAAAAGATCTTCATCAAATATTCCTCTGTTCCTCTGTGATAAAGTTGCAAATAAGTTAAGACTAAATTGTTTCCGTGGACCTTCTTCAACATATCTGTGCATGTAAACGTTAATGTACAGGAAGCTGTAGCTGCAAGAGGTTGAACCTGATGTTTATTTCGGCATGTGGATGTAGACTTGAAACATGTTCCCGTGATCTTGACAATGTTGACATTGACTAACATGTCAACTGGGAATACACTATGACTATTATGAACAATAAATACGAATTGATATAAAGGCAATGTTGCTTGTGTTATGATGACATGACAGACTCATCATTCTTTGATGAATAAAGAAAGACATCTTGAATAATTGAATTATACATTTGAGAGCTTTCTGTTATGTTGTGTGATTTTAATGACAGTCCAACAGTATCTTTGACATATTTAGTATCGTTGACTATGTAAAGCATGGAGCTGTTACTGTTGAACAGACATTGTGTAATATTTTGCTTTATTACCCCCGTGGTCAACGTATGGGTAGTTGCATACTAATCTCGTACGGCACACGAGTGTCGTATCGCGTTGACCTGTGTCGTAACGACTTGACCTGAGATTCTAACGATTTGATTGGATAACCGATGACCTCTCAATTAGGTCACATTCTGACGTAACTATTTTTTCATTCATAACGAACACGTGAATTCATTCATTCTATAACTTAAATGCATTGTGGGAATGTAAACATTGCGAACGTTGCCGTGTCGCTGTTTAATTGTGAGTCGAACTGAGACATTATATCCGTCGAAAAACATAAACGCAATGTTTCCACCAGTGATGTTAGCCGAATGAAGCAACTGCAAACCAAGAAACGAGGTGCTACGGAGTAGTTTACTGTAGGAGGCTGTACGAGGCGATGACAACTGACATGCATCCTGACGTCTGTTACCAAGGCAGTGACGTCATTACAGTGTGACGTCATGCAAATGGTGTACTACAGTACAACACTCTTCCGCAACCTCTTTATGAAACCGGTTTCGGTTTGAAACCAAAAAAATAACAAAAATACGCTATTTTGTCAGTTTAATGCATGTAGGACGTGGGTAATAAATAAAATACCACACTCGGTCTCATTACATACGAATTATACGAAACTCGTGACCTTCCTATGTTATCTGACCTCGCTTTCGCTCGGTCAGATACCATAGGAAGGACACTCGTTTCGTATAATTCGTATGTAACCTCGTGTACCTCGTGTAGTATTCTCTATGATCTAAATACAAAGTACCAACCTTTGTTTCCTTGTAATGGTTTTTCATGAATACAATGCCAACCAACGGTATATATGATCTTCAAATGTTATAGCTGAATCTGAAAAAACATAATTTTGGAAAATTTACCTTTAATTTGTAAAGTTCAACTCATATTTTCTGATCAAATGCCCTTTCTATAAACATTTTACCTTTAACCTTACCAAAATACCTTTTGCGATGAGCATATATGTAATATTATTGTCCACAAATGTAAATCATGGTCTGAGCATTCCAAAACTACTATTTTTATTAAAATCGGTCAAACCAAACCAGTGTTATTAAATTAAACCATCCAGTTGTCGATTAAAATATTGCGCTAAATGACATGACATGTTGCACCTTAAAAGGGCCCCTGCACGGTAGTCACGCGTGGGAGCTGATGACAACCGGCTTTAGATCAAAGCTAAATCATTCCTGATTGTGAAAAATCACATCCCGTTTGGTCGCCAGAACTGCACCACATTTTCACCATTTTGGGGGTCTGGCTTCTAGACCACATAGCATATTTTGTTTCCTGAAGTTTGTGATGCATTTTATTGCAGATTTTACGTTTTTTGGGAGTACCGAGCCAAGATACAAAGTCTCACAAAATGGGGATCGTGAGGCTGCAACATAGCAAAACCAATTTGCTTGAGGCTGACAGATAATATGTAGAAATATAAAACATAAAAACAGCTGTATTTGTATCATATTCTAGGTGAGGCTGCCTACTATTTGAACGTCCCTCGTAGTTATACCCGTTAGAACATCCACCCACCTCTGCGACTCTACATGCATGCAAGTGTGTTAGATATACCCGTTAGAAAACGCACCCCTACCCCACCCCCACTTTATATGTAAACTGAGGGGCAAAAGAAACGTCCCCAAAGTAAAATTGTAAAAACATTTCTTCTGTTTTCGTTATGACGGAAATTTATTTAGGAACACATCTCCCGAACGCATCCCCACGTCTCACAGAAAGGAAATCCACGTGGAGTTTTTTGTAAGCATGAAAATTGCTTTTATTCACGTTTTTTGCATGCTTCTGTGGAAACATACCCGTATGAAAGTACAGTATAAAAATTATGCTCGACTGTTCGAATTCATCACTTCAATACGTTGGACACAAAGAACATGCCTCGACTCACGGCAGAACAGAGAGAACGAGCTATTGGGATGTTGCAGCTGGGTGCTTCTCACAGTCACGTTGCAAGAATCATGGGTTGCAGCAAGAAAACCATCACCAGACTGATGACACGCTTCAGAACAACAGGTCGGACTGCAGACAGGCCTAGGACAGGGAGACCACCCGTAACCACCCCTCAGGAAGACCGCCATTTACGGGTGCTTCACTTGCGCAACAGATTCCTGACTGTGACGTCATCAGCAACAACCAGCCTTACCCATCCAGTCAGTAGAAGGACCATATCCAGACGACTCCGCCGATTCGGTATCAGAGCCTACAGACCATTCCGGGGCGTGACGTTAACGCGTGAACATCGACGTCGTCGATTGGCTTGGGCACGTAGAGTTCGGCAGTGGCAGCCGCGGAACTGGCGCCGGGTACTCTTCAGTGACGAGAGCCGCTTCCAGTTGAACAAAGCTGATGGTCGGGTACGAGTCTCTACAGACGTCGGAACGAACGCACAGCACGTTGTTGCGTTCAGGAAGTTGAGACGTTTGGCGGCGGTAGTGTGATGGTGTGGGGGGATTTGTGGCGAGAGGAAGACTGACTTGTTGGTGATAGAGGGAAACCTGAATGCCCGTCGATACATTGATGTTGTTTTACGACCTGTCGTGTTACCCTTCCTCCAGCAGAATCGAGGCGTGTTGTTTCAGCAGGATAACGCTACTCCCCACTCTGCTGTTGTTACCCGGAACTTCCTGAACAACAACAACGTAAACGTCATTCCTTGGCCAGCAAGATCCCCCGATTTATCACCTATTGAGCACCTATGGGATCATCTCGGCCGTCAGGTTAAGCAACGTCAACATCCCCACAGACAAGAAACGCTTTGGCTCAAGCTCTACAGGAAGAATGGCGTCGCATCCCACATCACGTGATCAGACGTCTTGTGCACTCTGCACGACGTCGTGTGGCAGCATGTATCGCTGCAAGAGGTGGACACACTCGCTACTGAGGAGTTGGACACTCAAAGACACTCTGTCAGTACTGATGTGCATGTGTTGTCATGATCGAAAACCGGACATTTGAACCTCCAGTGAAAAACGTCACAAAAACTCTACTTACAGCAAATTGTTTCAATTGTTCTGTAATGACAGTCTGCATAATATGTTCAAAAATTATATCAAACATTTCAACATTGAATTGCACGTGTTTGTATCATTTTATGATACAAAAATGATCGGGGACGTTTCTTTTGCCCCTCAGTTTATATAGTATATAGATATTTGCGAAAAGACATGATACAGAGGACAGTTTATATCGATATATATCAGGACGAATATCATTTTCGTCATTTAGCTAAGACTTGTCAATTCATTCTTGGGTTATCGCGCTAACAATCTTTATATTGGCAAAACCCTCACATTTTTGCTGTGACCTTGAAAATTATCTCAAGGTCACTCCATTTCACTTGTGCTGGTGAATCTCGCCAATATACCTTGGTACCAAATTTGAACAAAATCCATCATTTCTTTCTTGGGTTATCGCCCTAACAAGCTTATTTGATGTATGAAATGCAACGAAAAACAAACACCCGCGTATTTACGAGTGATTAAAACTGTTATTACAATTTACGTAAATATTTATTACATTTTACCGCAACGAAAATTATTACAATTTACGTCAATTTTTATTACAATTTGCGTATTACAATTTACGTCAAATTTTATTACAATTTACGTTTTTATTACAATTTACGTCAAGTTTATTACAATTTGCTGCAAGTATTACAATTTGCGTTTTTATTACAATTTACGTCGTAACACCCCTCTATACCCTCATATTTGTCACAACAATCGCACCGCACTCGCGCACACACACACCTATTTCATGACAAATATATTTTGATGCTTCCTTTTTAATAACTTATATAACTAACACAATTTTAGTTAATCATTAAGACGCAATTTCAGTTCACTGTATGCAGCGGTCTCCAATTCACCAGTCCAGTGCAATAATCGTCGTGATAGCACAGCACTTCAGTAAAGCGACAGTCCATCATTTCCCCCTTTGACCACTCAGTTCATCCAATTGACCACCACCGTCATCTCAGTCCATCCGACTTGAGACCTCTACTGCACGTGTGGTCCCTGCAATCACCTGTGTGACCCCACCTAGCAGCAGCGGAGTGACTACAACACAAGTATATTCATATACTTGCTAAAATGTCCTTGAATTACATACTATAAAACTTTGTTCGGCATTACTAACGTTTTATTCACGTTAAAGTGGTGATATCCAGGTTTCTCTTATACAATAACAAACACGAGTGTATCTGAACGTTAACTAGAAAGTGATTTTATTCGTAAAAACAGATGCCTCCCCCTTCCCAAAAATTCACAGTTTGGGACCTCAAACAATTCATTTGATTCCTTCAATTTCAAAATCTCTAAGTATGAAAATGATACGAATTATTGATAGTATGTAATTATGTTTGTTTAAGTCTTAAGTATACAACATTTGGTGAAGATGGGTGAAGTGGTTTTAGAGTTATGGTCCGAACACAAACCCTACCTTTCAAAAAGGCCAAGTCCAAATTTGTTGCCATTGAAACAGAAAAAATAAAATAAAATTGTAAGTTAAAACCCCCAAAAGGCACATAGAGATCTACATGATATGGAGGGGCAGTATAGCAAATTTGGTCAAATATTTTCCGAATTATGCTCGGGAAACGAACTTTACCTTTCAAAAAGGGTGAGTGAGTTAAGATTTTGATATTTCAGCCATATCTTGACTAAAAACAAGTTATAATTTCATAATAAATATAGGTAAATTCTAAAACCCTGTCAACGAAGGACAGTAAAATAACTACTTTATCACAGATTTCAATTTAAAGCTAGTAATGAACTCTAAAATACAGAATAAAAAAAAATACAATATATAAAACAGGCTATAGATTGCCCACATCTGAAGGTAGATCACCACACTAGGACCATGGGAACTTACAATACATTTGCTTCCTGCATGGACTTTAGCTGGATTTAAACCATCCCTTCAGCTATTAGCAATTTCAGAGCCACAAATTTAAATATAGTTTCTACAGAAGGGTATGCAATTAGTTTTTGACTTAGAAAATTTAAAGCCGTTTTCAAGACACCATTTATTTATTTGTTTAAACATAATTGCAATTGCCGTTCAATATTATTCATACATTTACCACGTCAAGAAATATTAAAATCATCCACAAAAAAGTGATCCACCGATTGAATCATTTCAAACCATGGATAAACTGTTGATCTTGCTACTAAATAAGGTGACAGACAAAATACTGTCTAGTGGGACTCCCTGATCCTGAGTGTAATGGTCAGACAGGGTTGAACCTACTCGGACTTGAAATTGACTGTCTGCTAAAAACTGTGAGATAAAAAAGAGGGGAAAACGACCCCTCAAACCGAAGTCAAGAAAATCCTTCAAAATGCCATGCTTCCAGGTGGTATCGTATGCTTTCTCGAGATCAAAGAATATCGATATCGCATGTTGTAAATTAAAGGATTCTAAACGTACCAAACGAGATCAATGGTACTACGATTTTTTCTACTTAAAAACAGTATCCCACTTCTTCTGCATGAGATCACGAATGGTACGATCGAATGATAGCTTTGTAATCAGAGTAAGGAATGAGAAGTGGTGTCACAGATTTGTGTCACAGCTCAGTATATAACTCAATTAAACTGATTAAAAGTGGATGTTTGCAAGAGAGATTATTTATAGCCTGAAGGCAAGAAAGAGAGTCTGAAAATATTATTTATAGTTTATATTTAGGATGATGTTTAATATATTTAAGCGCTGTTAATATGGCATTTGCTTCTGCTGTGAAAATAAAACTATCGCCTGGTAGGATTCTAAACGTACCAAATGATCAATCGTACGATTTTCCTGAAACCACATGGAATATTTGTTATAAAGTTATTTGTTTCAAGATACCTATAATCTATTGTTAACCACTCGTTTCATGGTTTTACAGACACAACTCGTTAAAGTGATTGGTAAATAGACTGGTCAGTATGATGCCGGCCAGGTTTTGGAATAGGGATTCCAATGGCAATACGTCACGAAGTTGGGAAATTCCCTGAAGTCCGTATTGTATCAAAAATATTTAGAAGTGTTTCTAAACATGATGCAGGTAAATGTTTCAAGAGCTGATAATGTATGTCATCAGGTCTTGTTGCTGTACCTTGAGCTTGCTCAAGGGTGGTATGTAGCTCATGTAACGAAAAAGATTCGTTACAGTCCTCACCATTGTGCGAGTTGAAATTAATTCTTTTCTTCTCCTGTTGTTTGTGGTATTTCTGAAACTCAGGGACATAACTGGATGGTGACGAATGCTTGGCGGGGGTTTCACCATGTTTATTTGCAATGTCAGCTTTACCAGTCATGTTCTCATCATCCTTCGGATGGTGAACAGCAGATTTGGAACCTTTGTCCTTTATTCTGTGAACCATGCTCCACACCTTTGAAATCGGTGTCCGGGAATTTATCTTGGAAACATAGTTTCTCCAAGACTGACGCTTATTTTGTTTGAACGCACGTCGAGCCTTGGCATTTAAAATGTTAACTTTATCTAACTTGTGAACTATAGGATGTGGTCTAAAATATGTTTCAGCTTTCTTACATTCATTGTTAAACCATGGTTTAAATAAAACAGCTATTCAGTTCTAGAGTGTTCTATGTCACTAACTAATTGAAAGGCTCGATTTTGTGACGTGACATGGAGATAGGACACTCTGCACCTAAGACCTTATCTAGATGTCACATTGAAATGGTGAGTATTATTAGGGCTCCTTGCCTCTAGGCAGGAGACCTATTGTAATCGTTCGGATTATTATTATTATTATTTATTAATCCGCCGATTTTTGTACCAAACATAACTCCTAAACCAATGCTCCGAATCGCTTACCAAAAATCACACAGATGCGCACCGAGGTGTAGATATTCCCCTTAAAAATCTCTCGGCTCTTGGCCCAATAGCAAAGGGGAGATAAATCAAAATTAATTCCAAAATGTCAACGTTTGACAGCAAATATCTTAAGAACTAATTGTTCCAACACTTCCAAATTTCTTGTACGGATGCACAATCGAATTCCCAACAATTTTGCCTGGACGGATCAAGTCGCTAAAATGTACCGTTTGGCAGTTATTTTTGTTTTCAGTTTTTGGCCATGTTTTTCAGCACTTTTCTGAGTAGTTTGCTCCCAAAATGTGCAAATGTGCCAATATCGTAGATGATGTTCTGGTGATTCCAGAACACTAATTGTTTTGAACGTAGACCCAAGAACAACTGAGATACAGCCTTTTAAAGAGGGAACTATTTCTTCTCCGGAACTACTTAAAAGGTACATCAACCCCGTGACCCCGGCTGTATTTGGAAGACCCGGTCGCCTGTCAAAACACGTGTTCTGGCTCCGTTTTGGACGATGATATCTAGCCCTCAGATACAATAGATACAAGTAAAGCCAAGGAGACCTCGTCGTTGCCTGCAACTATATTTCGGAATTGCAGTTATTCTGCTGTGCCTATCAGACGAAAACAAACATGAATGACCCGAGAATTGGCAGACTAAAATATCTTCAATGAAGTGAAATGTCAGCACAATATTTAACTCCTTTAAATAGAAATATCTGGACTCATATTTTATATATTTATTGCTTTACACTGAAAACCAATCAGCAGGTCCAAATGAAGTCCCACTGTCATATGTGAAAACATAAACTTATTTTGCATGATGTGTGTAGTAAATAAAGGGTTTGATCCATGCAACTTGTACCAAAAGATTCAGCTTCCCAAGTACAATAGTCATTCTGAAATAAGGCTTTGAGTATGTGAAAATGAAATGTACGTTATTTCCCCAACCTTCACTATGATCTGGTCTTATTGCAGATGCATTCAAAGTTGATAGGTCTGTTTACCTTTATTAACATCATGCACACTTCACATACAAGCAACTGTTCTAAATCTTGATGAATTTCTTGCAAAGTCAGACTTCAGTTCCTCTATGTCCCAACGTTTGCAGAAATGTACGCTACCCTCACATTGCGATTCCTTTACAGCCAAATTAGCTATCTATCACACTCATTTGTCTGTCAGATATATAGGTGGTAGTCATTTCTTTTAGGATGTTCACAAATTCACATCATTTCAAAACTGCTATATACAGTAATACAGTGTACAAAAGTTAAAATCCGAGAGTAATTTTAACAATGAAATGTATGTTAATGCCTTTTTCTTTTCAAGAATGATTAACAAATCTTGTAAGGCTAATTATGTTTCTGTAACTTACTTGGACTGTCAGAATCACAAGTTTCGATTCGAAGTCGAGTTTAGCTGGTGAAATAATGATTAAATCGAGAAGTTTGAAAATTACAAGTGAAATGTCCGTTACCGTCTGAAAACCTCTTGTATTTGGCAAAAAGCCTTGTTAGTTCTCATTGTTTTATCGTTTTAAACTTGGAATTTACAATTGTCTGTTGGTCTAAAGCCTTTGTTGCTACCATAGTATTTACTTGACGAAAACAATTTAACAGGGGAAAGCAACTGGATTTGAAACGTACGTTATATAACAGATTAATTTGTGTAGTTCACAAACAAGGCGCATTTCTCTTTTAGTTCTATTTGTTTATGTATCCCACATTCGTGTGTTAGACTGGCAAGTGAATGAAACATACAACTTTATGGATGACAACTTCTTATTTATTGCATAGAGCGACGTTTCGATGTAGATTCTTACATCGTTATCAAGCTAAAAGTGATGTAGAGGAGTATATATACACAGTATGTTTTGACAACAGCAGATTAACATTAAAAACATGTAATTGAATAACAACTGGTACATAATTATGAGAGGCCAGTGGGGGACTAAGAACAACAAATGAGACTGGGAACGAAGCCAATAAACAAGGGGGATTAAGTTGTAATAACAAGCTGATTGGATGCTTATAGCGTCTATAGTTTGATTAGTTCTTCATAGGCCGATGGTATTGTAGTATCCTTGGTCTCTGTTGATCAAAGGTTCGTGGCGGCGGATTTCGATGGCTTCCAAGAGTTTACTTTGTGATTTTTGGTTGATAGGATTTCAGATTTGACAAACATGATTTGGTGGGTAGGGAATTTCTGTTGGTGATCGGAGAGGGCTGATTTGCTGTCTGATTTTGCTGTTGAGGTTTTATGTTCTTTAATGCGGTTTTCAACGGGACGGGAGGTTTCACCAATACAGAAGTCACCACATTCACAACTAATCTTGTAGATCACTCCTTTGGGGGGCTGCTTTTTGGAGGGAAGGTTGCGGTCATTGGCTTGGAGGATGGTCCTGAGGGTTGCAGAGCCAGTGAAGATGATGTCGATGCCTGCTTGGTGCTTTAGTAGTCTGCTGATTTGATGGGAGGTCTTGCCGATGTAGGGTAGGGTGATTTTGATGGGGACGGATTCAGGCTTGGTCAGTTTGGGTTTGTCATGGAGGGTGGTGGAGATGGTCCTCTTGACTAAGTTGGTGGGATACTGGTTGAGGCTTGTGAAGACATGTTGCAGGTGGTTCAGCTCATGTTCTAGGTCATGGCTGCTGGAGCAAATGTTCTTGGCACGCTTGGTCAGGGTTGAGATGACACCAGACTTTGTTTTCGGGGGGTGGTTTGAGTTGAAATGAATATACTAGTCGGAGTGGGTGGGGTTTCTGTAGACCTTGGTTTGGATCTTCTTGCAGGGGTCATTGGATACATGGGCATCTAGGAAGGGGAGTGTGCTGTCTCTCTTTGTTTCCATCGAAAACTTAATTCGAGGATGTTGGGTGTTGAGGTGCTGTAGTAGTGAGGTGGGATCCTGGTCTTTCCTGAGGATGACAAAGGTGCCATCCACCTTCCTATACCAGCAGACAGGTTGGATGGGGGAGGAGGCCAGGGCTTGCTCTTCAAAATGGGTCATGTAGATTTCTGTGATAATGGGGGAGAGAGGGGACCCCATGGGGTGGCCGTGGATCTGTTCGAAAATGTTGTCTCCCAAGGTGAAGTAGGTAGACGTTATACAAGATTTAGTGAGGCTGATGATGGAATCTATGGAGAGGTTGGTGTCAAGGGGTTGGTCCATACTGGATATGCGCTGACGGAGGATTTGCAGGGCTTCATCGTTGGGGACATTTGTGTATAGGTCAACAACATCATAGCTACTGATCTGGTCAGGTTCAGTTATGCTGGTTATCTTTTGACAGAAGTCTGTCGAGTCTGGTCTGATATGTAGGATTTAGCAGTTTTACCAAGAGGGGAGAGTATTTTGGCGAGGTGCTGGGCGGTGTTGTAGAAACCTGTGTCCCTTGAACATACAAGCAGTCTGGCCTTTATAGGGTCTTTATTGATCTTGATCACGGACGTAGGGGGGCTGTGGATGGGAGACAGAACGTTTGTGGTGCTGTTGGGTGGTGATCTCAAAGGTGTCTTTCAGGCGTCTCAGTGTGGACTTGTGTTCTTGTTGGAGTGTGCTGGTGGGGTCTTTCTTGAGTTTTCTGTAAGTGGTGGGGTCTGTAAGCATCTTGTTGACCAGGGAGTGAAATTCCGACTTGTCGGCTGGGACCATGGTAATATTTGGGTCTTCTTTGAGTTCTTTGGCGGCTTGTTTCTCAGCTTGGGTGAGGTTAGGTGTCTGTCTGGGGGCTTTTTGAAGAATGTGACTTACCTGGGCTAATAACGGAAAATGACTCTTCTCGTTCACAAATAAAAAACCCATAATTAAGCCCAGGGCTTAAATTCGGGAAATGCTTGTTACTGAAGAAAATGATTCTAAGACACGATAAAATGGAATGAACTTTAATATAAACGGAATAATACAGAAACCAGAACCTTAGACAATCATCCAAGAATTGTCTGAAACCTGAACTTGAATGACATCCCCACTTTTATATTTACATACTTTACTGTTCTTGAGGAATGTGTCCTATGTTATTATCATATTTTATTGCGACTCCTCGTGAGTCATATGGATTGAGATTGTCTATATGGGTATAGAGTACCTGACCTCTCTTGGGACTCCATTTAAACATGAAAACTCAGTAACTGCAATACAAACGTGCACTACAAACGTTATATATGCTGAAGTTCGCCATGTGCTGTTGCAAAGGGACGTCACTCTAAACAATAAAATTTGAAATCTTATTTTAGGCCCATGGGCTTAATAACGGGAAAGTATCCCGTTATCAAGCCCATTTATATGTTGAAACCGGGAGATACCAAGGTATGGAGAAAGAAAGTAGAATCTGCCAAATGTGCAACTTACACGAGGTCGAAGATGAGTTTCACTTTTTATGTGTTTGCCCAGCATACTTATCGTTAAGAAATAGATATATAAAGAAATATTGTTATGTACATCCTGAAATGCATAAGTTTATATCATTGATGAATAATTCCAGTAAAACACATATAGAAAGATTGTCCATATATATCCATAAAGCTTTTATTCTCCGAAAGAATGCTCTACTACCCGCACATGATTAAACAATGTACTACAGGCCTGTGGCCTTTCAGTATGAAATAAAGATTGATTGATTAAATACGGGAAATACCGGTAGTATTCCCAGAAATTATTGAGAACGTGGTTTCGGCAAATATCTAATACATGCATATAAACTATAGAAATTTTACTTAAATGAATATGTTTAGATATTGATGCTCTTACAGACTAAGTATCTTTTCAGTGTATCTTTTCTAAGTCCGTTTTGGTTTATTCTGCCCTTCATTAGTCCCCACACATTCTCATTAGGGTCAACATCTGGCTGTAGCTGGGCTTGAAACTTGAACATTTTCGTCCGACAACCACTGTTTTGTGTAGCCCGTAGTGTGTTTTGGTCTCCTCCTCATTAACTGTAATTCCTTTAATATCACTATTCTTCTTTATAAGACCAGCCAGGATCTCGACACAAAGGATGAAGATACACGGAGAAAGAGGATCGCCTTGTCTACATCCTCGTTCAACAGCAAACCAAGGAGACAATGTACCTTTTATAATCAAACAAGATCTGGCATCATTATACAGAATATTGAACCACTTGCTAATGTCCTCTCCAAATCCAAAAAATGATAATGTCTTATTCATAAATGACCAGGGAACAGAATCAAGTGCCTTTTCAAATAACAGATGAAAGAAGTTTATAGGCAGTATTCAGAAGTGGGCATGGTGTCTTAGGCGCCAGTGAACTTGAGATGCCGGGGTCGAGCCCACTTGTGACTAGCTTGGTGTGAAAACCGTGGAGTCAACTTTGCGTACAGGCTCTTTGGTACATGACCAGATGGTGGCCACATGAATACGTGCAAACACCTAGTTTGGGGTACAGCAACGTGCAGTAAACTTACAAAGTACTGTGACTATGTGTCCCAGTCCACCCAGCTGTAAATGGGTACCTCGTAAGCCATATTAACTCGATAGGAAAGCCACATTAACTCGGTGCGCCTAGTGGCTGCAAGAGTTGTATGATCCCCAGGAAGTTGAGATTGATTGATGTGCCGTTTGCGATTGACACCCAATGATCGAGGGAAAAACAAAAGCGCCCTTGAGCAGGTAATATGGATATTGGCGCTATACAAATAGATACATGTACTATTCAAAACAACGCATAACCGAGATATCTGTTACGAAAATGTTGTATTTTCAAATATGTATAACTCGACCACAAATAGACTTTAGGAAATGAATTTTTGCATCAGTTTAGAGGAAGGAAATGTCTATACAACCAAGTGGATAATTTTAGATAACAGAGACGTTGAGCGCGATGGTGAGACGTAGCACGGTCCCGACGTCGGGACTCCTGGCTGTCAGTCCAATCTCTCTCAACCTGTTCGTACAGTTTGACCGAATATTCTCCGAAGTCGAGGCACCCTGGCTGCTGTGCTCTCACCCGTGGCAGTACGATCATGCAAATGTAGTACCCGGATGTACCGATCTGGAGCTGCAGTGGTGACTCGAGGTCTGCCTGTACGGGGAGGGTCAATTGTTATACCTGTTTGGTTGTAACGAGCTGCAAGCCGTGACATCGTGTTCAGACTAGCATTCAGATTGATACTCTCCAGCGTGCATTCTTTCAATGGCGATGATCCGTGTCGCAGCGTCAATACGTGGCGTAGCGATTTGACCTTGAAACGCCTTCAAAACGAATGTCGATTTCCGAAAGTAATCTGGACTTTTATACCCAGACAGTGCATGCTCTTTGCTGCACAGTTTCAACTGGAAGGTGATTCCTGTTGCGTTTTGGCGATGCTTTTTAATCAACATTTTCAGTGAACGTCGATTTTTTACTTGTGCAATTGTGTAAACTTACAATTGTGTAAAATTATGTTATCAACACTTTTGTTACAATTTTGACGATTGTTTAAACACAATAGGTAATTAATAGATTTTTTAAAATACAAAATGCCTATGCGTTTCTTTTGTGGGATAGTATATAAATATATAATAATAATTAGCTAAGATTATATGTTGGCTGATCGTTTGCTAATTAGCGGTCCTTGTGAATGTTGTTTGGGGCTTCGATTCCTTGGCTTTGGTTTGTGTTAGCTGCTATTAATAAAGCTATAAACTGGTTACGGCGTTTTCCATTGGGAACAATAAAAGTTATTCCTGAAAAATCGCAGGTCTCATCTTTGGTATACTCATATGGGGACTTAGTTTAATCGCTTTACAATCAACGCAGTCGCTGCTAAACCCAGCACGACGAAGGTCAGTTCTCGGTCCTTTTGCCCCGGGGATGGTGCGTAGTACTGAGCAAGTGTGGGCTCATGGAGTGGTTCGAGCTGTTTGCCGGTTAGTAGGTAGTATTCTCTCACTGCGTCGTCGTGGTTCTCACGCTGGAGTCGTTCGTTAATGCAATCGACCCTCTGCATACGTTTCTTCGCGTACTCGGCTTGCGCTGCTTGTAATTGCTCCACGACTATATCGTGCCGTTTTTGTACCTCGTCCGACCCCCGTAGGTTCGAGAACAGGTAATTACTCTCGGAAAATGCCAGGGCGTTGACTAAACCCCCACCGACCATCATAGCGATCGTAGCCATCCTATATATGTTTATATACTTACTTCAAAATATTCCCCGGTATGATCCCTGGCTTCACGAGGATATCCTTGGTGGCCATAGCCATGCCCAAATTCATGATGAGCATGCCAATATCCTGCAGGTCAAAGTCGAGCTTGATAGTCGGTTGTTTGAGGACCATCTTGGTCAACCGAGCGTACCCTATGGCTAGGCCGGCGACCACGGTGGCGTGGTATGCTTCGTTAACGAACGTTTTCCCCTCAGACATGATGTATATGATATAGAAATATATATTTATAACATAATATGGGGGTTGACCTCTAATTGGGGTTGTGGTGCCGGGGGTGCTGGGCGTTTATTATGTAACATGAATAATGAGAGAGCCGCAGCAGCAGCGCCTGCAACCCACAGAGTGTAGTTACTCTTATGTTGCTTGGCTAAGCCTCCTTTTCTGCCGGCAGCGACTCTCTTTGGGTTCTTCTTCTTGGTTACTGTAGGGGTTCCCTCCTGTAGGGGGTTCCCCCCTATTGGTGTTTCCTCTATTGGGGTCGGAGTCACTTCTTGATCCATCTTGTATACCATTACTATTATTTTTCCCCTCCTTAAATTGGCAATGCTTCGCCGTGATGATCGCTGCCGTCACTGGGGCTAAGAGCATACCGTATTTATGGTACAGCAGGCAGCTGACGGCGCTCAAAGCGTGTTGGATAAAGGGGTCCTTCTTGAGGTCCTCCCACAGGTAAAGCCGTCGTTCTGGGGGAATGGGGAGGACATACGCCGCAATGCCGTTGTAGATCTGCGCCATTGTCGAGCATATAGTCTTCGTCATCTCGGCCCCGAGCCTGGACTCGTATCTCGCGTACAGCTTATCGACCTCGGCGGCGGGTAGTTTCTGGATTTTATCTGGAGCATAGTCCCCAAAGTATTGTTTAGCCTTGCCGACGACCGCCAGCGCCATTAGTTTCTCTCGTTTGTCGTCATCGGTCGATTATCCCCCTCCACCAACTGTTGTTCGAGCAGGTCGTCGCACTCCATCCTATAATATAACAAGTGATTCTTAACTCTAATGATATAAAA